GTTTCAAGGGAGGGGTGCTTTGACTCCCTCTTGCTCCTCGAGTCGGGAATGTCGGGGCCCTTTTGGGGCCCTCCGGGAAGCCCCGCCTCTTTTTGGTTTCCCCTGTCAAACCCCACATACAACCCTGCGAGGTAGGCTTGACCTAGCGCTTATTCCAGCACCGTATTCTCCCATTACATTGATATTGTCATCTCTGATCCCCCATCATCCCCATTAGATTGATCCCAGAATTGGGACTGTAGGGGCCCTTTAAGTGTCATTCAGGAAGTCCCGCCTCTTTTTGGTTTCCCGTATAGAAAACCCCAAACAACCCTGCGAGGTAGGCTTATTGTAGCGCTATATTTCCCCATTAGATGTATTTTAGAGTTTGGGACTGTAGGGGCCCTTTAAGTGTCATCCAGGAAGTCCCACCTCTTTTTGGTTAAACCCTACAAACAACCCTGCGAGGTCGGCTTCCTTCTAGCACTATATTCTTCCATTAGATTGTCACTTTTTTCTATTATTCCTCCATCATCCCCATTTAAGTGACATCACATTCATCCACATTAGTGCTGGGAATGTAGGGGGCCCTTTAAGTGTCATCCAGGAAGTCCCGCCTCTTTTTGGCTTACCCCTACGAAACTCTACAAACAACCCTGCGAAGTTGGCTTCCTTCTAGCACTATATTCTTCCATTAGATTGTCACTTTTTCTATTATTCCTCCATCATCCCCATTTAAGTGGCATCACCTTCATCCCCATTAGGTTTACCCTAGAGTTGGGATTGTAGGGGCCCTTTAAGGGTCATCCAGGAAGTCCCGCCTCTTTTTGGCTTCCCCATACAAAACCCTACAAACCCTGCGAGGTGGGCTTATTTTAGTGCTATATTCCACCGTTCGGTTGGGTGATTGTCCCCATTAGATTTATCCTAGTGTTGGGAATGTAGGGGGCCCTTTAAGTGCTGTCCAGGAAGTCCCGCCTCTTTTTGGTTTGCCCATACAAAACCCTACAAACAACCCTTTGAGGTAGGGTGATCATCCCAATTAGGTTTATCCTAGTGTTGGGAATGTAGGGCCCCTTTAAGTGCTGTCCAGGAAGTCCCACCTCTTTTTGGCTAACCCTACAAACACCCCCTGTGAGGTAGGCTTATTCTAGCGCTGTATTCCCCCATTAGATGGATATTGTCGTCTCTGATCCCCCATCACCCCCCATTTAAGTGACATCATCTTCATCCCCATTAGATTTATCGCAGTGTTGGGAATGTAAGAGCCCTTTCAGGAAGTCCCGCCTCTTTTTAGTTTCCCGTACAAAACCCCCAAAACAACCCTGCGAGGTAGGCTTATTCTAATGTTATATTGGCTGGATGATACTCCCCATTAGGTTTATCCTAGAGTTGGGACTGTAGGGGCCCTTTAAGTGCCATCCAGGAAGTCCCGCCTCTTTTTTTGTTTCCCGTACAAAACGCTACAAACAACCCTGCGAGGTGGGCTTATTTTAGTGCTATATTCCACCGTTCGGTTGGATGATCGTCCCCATTAGATTTATCCTAGTGTTGGGAATGTAGGGGTCCCTTTAAGTGCCATCCAGGAAGTCCCGCCTCTTTTTTGTTTCCCGTACAAAGCCCTACAAACAACCCTGCGAGGTAGGCTTATTTTAGTGCTATATTCCACCATTCTGTTGGATGATTGTCCCCATTAGATTTATCCTAGTGTTGAGAATGTAAGGGCCCTTTAAGTGCTGTCCAGGAAGTCCCGCCTCTTTTTTGTTTCCCGTACAAAGCCCTACAAACAACCCTGCGAGGTAGGCTTATTTTAGTGCTATATTCCACCATTCTGTTGGATGATTGTCCCCATTAGATTTATCCTAGTGTTGAGAATGTAAGGGCCCTTTAAGTGCTGTCCAGGAAGTCCCGCCTCTTTTTTGTTTCCCGTACAAAGCCCTACAAACAACCCTGCAAGGTAGGCTTATTCTAGCGCTGTATTCCCCCATTAGATGGATATTGTCGCCTCTGATCCCCCATCATCCCCCATTTAAGCGACATCATCTTCATCCCCATTAGGTTTACCCTAGAGTTGGGACTGTAGGGGCCCTTTAAGTGTCGTCCAGGAAGTCCTGCCTCTTTTTGGCTTCCCCTACAAAACCCCCCAAACAACCCTACGAGGTAGGCTTATCCTAGCACTATATTCTTCCATTAGATGGGATGATCATCCCCATCAGGTTTATCCTAGAGTTGGGACTGTAGGGGCCCTTTAAGTGCCATCCAGGAAGTCCCGCCTCTTTTTGGTTTCCCGTACAAAACCCTACAAACAACCCTGCGAGGTGGGCTTATTTTAGTGCTATATTCCACCGTTCGGTTGGGTGATTGTCCCCATTAGATTTATCCTAGTGTTGGGAATGTAGGGGGCCCTTTAAGTGCTGTCCAGGAAGTCCCACCTCTTTTTAGTTTCCCCGTACAAGACCCCCCGGAACAACCCTTATTCTTGCGCTATATTCCCCCCATTAGATTGGGATGGACATCCCCATTAGATTTATCCTAGTGTTGAGAATGTAAGGGCCCTTTAATTGCCATACAGGAAGTCCCGCCTCTTTTTGGTTTCCCGTACAAAACCCTACAAACAACCCTTCGAGGTAGACTTATTCTAGCGCTATATTCCCCTATTAGATTGGATGATTGTCTCCATTAGATTTATCCTAGTATTGGGATTGTAGGGGGCCCTTTAAATGCTATCCAGGAAGTCCCACCTCTTTTTAGTTTCCCATACAATACCCCCCAAACAACCCTCCAAGGTAGGCTTATTTTAGCGCTATATTCCCCCATTAGATTGGGATGGACGTCCCCATTTGATTTATCCTAGTGTTGGGAATGCAGGGGTCCCTTTAAGTGCTGTCCAGGAAGTCCCGCCTCTTTTTAGTTTCCCCATACAAGACCCCCCAAACAACCCTTCGAGGTAGGCTTATTCTAGAGCTATATTCCCCCCATTAGATTGGGATGGATGTCCCCATTAGATTTATCCTAGTGTTGGGAATGTAGGGGGTCCTTTAAATGCCATCCAGGAAGTCCCGCCTCTTTTTAGTTTCCCCATACAAAACCCTACAAACAACCCTGTGAGGTTTGCTTCATTCTAGCGCTATATTCCTCCCATTTGATTGACACCTGGGTGACTATCCTCACCTTCGATCCCCATCATCATCTCCTCCATCACTTTGTTTATTTACATCCCCTTCCCAAAAAAATGTACACAACTCCCTTCTCTTTCCCCTCCCCGAAATATACAAGACCCATCATCCTTCCTCCATATCCATAAAGGTGGGGATTGTGTGCTCATATTTGGGGCTTTTTTTTGCGGGGTGGGAGGGAAGAGGGTCTTAATGGGAGATTGGGTGGGATTAATAGGCGGGGTTGTCGTTTTAGGGGGGCTACAAGAAGCTCAGAAAAAGGAGAAGGAAGAAATGGTATAATATTAGGGATTTTTTTCGGGGTGGGAGGGGGATCCGAAGATGGTTTGTAGACCCACCCACCCCAAAAAAGCGACTTTCGAATTGGGGCTCGACTCCTTGGCTTCTGATTGAAACGTCCCCCCAAAAGAGATGCTGATTTGGAATGCCGGAAAAGTAATGTCGGGGGGCTTCCGTCCCCCGTTTGAGTTGGGTAGGGGTCTTCCTCCAGAAGGTGGCCCTGCGTTGGGTTGGATGGCTTGTGACTTTCATTATTATTTGTTGTTGTCGTTGTCGTCGTTGCCGCGTTGCTTTCCTTAATAAAGACTTTTTAGCAAAGACAGACCCTTCTCGCAAAGCCGTTGTTCTCTGTCCATCCGGCAAGGAAAAAGGGTAAGTTTGGGGGGGAGGGGTGTTTCTTAAAGGGGAAGGGGACACCCCCCATTCCAAAGTGGGGGGACACTCACTCTGTCCATCTTAAAAAGTCCTTTTATTTCTCGGAATTGAAGTCACTACACTCCCCATTGTCGCCATCCAGTTGAAAGAATACTGACACTTCCCATCATCCCCGGTCTTATTTTCCGTACACAGGTTCATGGGCATTGCAGTCTGACAAGCTCTCCTTCCATCCCAATTTGGTGGCACTCTAACCTCCATCATCCCGGCCCAGAGCCCCCAAAAAGGCAAAGTGGAAAAAGGGAGGGAGGACATTCCTTATCATCCCTGTCTTATTTCTCAGGGAGATGTGGACTGACACAGGATCGTGGGTTTTGCAGCCCAAAAAGCTTTCCTTCCGAGTTTCATGGCATTCTAATCCCCATCATCCCCACCCAGTGTTCCCACAAGGCAAAGTGGAAAGAGAGAGGGAGGACATTCCCCATCATCCCCGCCTTCCTTCTTCCTATGGGATAACGTTCCCCATCATCCTCATCTTTCCTGTTGGATCACATTCCCCCTCACCCCCATCTTCCTATGGGATAACATTCCCCATCGTCCCCATCTTATGAGATAACGTTCCCCATCATCCCAGTCTTCTAATGGGATAACATTCCCCATAGTCCCCATCTTCCTATGGGATAACATTCCCCATTGTCCCCGTCTTCCTTCCAATGGGATAACATTCCCCATCATCCCCATCTTCCTATGGGATAGCAGTCCCCATTGTCCCAGTCTTCCTATAGGATAACATTCCCCATCGTCCCCATTTTCTTATGAGATAACATTCCCCATCGCCCCAGTCTTCCAATGGGATAACATTCCCCATAGTCCCCATCTTCCTATGGGATAACATTCCCCATCATCCCTGTCTTCCTATGGGATAGCAGTCCCCATCGTCCCTGTCTTCCTGTGGGATAGCGGTCCCCATCATCCCTGTCTTCCTATGGGATAGCGGTCCCCATCATCCCTGTCTTCCTATGGGATAACATTCCCCATCATCCCCGCCTTCCTTCTTCCTATGGGATAACATTCCCCATCTTCCTTCCTATTGGATCACATTCCCATTGTCCCAGTCTTCCTATGGGATAACATTCCCCCATCATCCCCATCTTCCAATGGGATAACATTCCCCATTATCCCCGTCTTCCTATGGGATAACGTTCCCCATCATCCCTGTCTTCCTATGGGATAACATCATCCCTGTCTTCCTATGGGATAACATCCCCCATCTTCCTTCTTCCTATGGGATAACATTCCCCATCGTCCCCAACTTCCTTTCTACAGGATCACATTCCCCATCATCCCCATCTTCCTTCTTCCTATGGAATAACGTTCCACCCCAAAACAAATGGACTCTCGAGGCCTTTTTGGTGCTTGAAAGAAAAGAACATTTATTGCCTTTCGTTCCGGTATAAAAAAAAGAAGGGAGTGATAGAAAAAATATCTGTACAGAAAACGAAACGCAACCAGAGAAACACAGCTTTTCGGGGGGGGGGGTGTTTTGGGGGGGCAAAGAGCCCGCTGTGTCCTGCAAAATGGGGAGTGGGCTGCTGGCTCAGTTTTGGGGGGTGTGCAAAACAAAAGAACGGGGGGACAAGCTTCACATTTGGGTTATTTTTCCCCCTTGGGGTCAATGGCTTTTTTAATAGAGAGAGAGAGGTGTCTGTCCCCCGATATTCACTGGTGTTTGGAGGTCTTTCTCGCCCTGTTGGGACCCCCAAATCGCCTCTGCTTATGGGGTTCCCAACAGGGCAAGAAGGACCCCCAGCTTTGGTTTGAGCGGACAAACGGAGTGTTTTGTCTTTGTCCAAAGGAGGAGAAACACACAAGCACGCATCACACGTCCCCCGTCCCCCCAAAATACATAACACCCCAAAAACATATCTTTGGCTTCGAAGGGAAAAAAAAGTCAAAAAGAAGGCCACAATCTGCACAAAACAGACCCACAAACACACTTTTCTTTCCGGACGGTCACGTACTTTTTCACATTGCAAAAAATAGGCTCAGAAATAAGCGGGTCCCCCAAAAATGCCCAATGTGAGGTTAAAGGGTTGGACTAGACGGCCTTTGGGGGACCCTTTCCCGTCCAATATATTGCTTTCCCCCTCCCCGAAAAATAAAAAATACCAAAAGAGACTCCAAAGTTTGCTCTGTTTTGATTGTTTCCCCCGCACGCACGCACGCACACATCTATTTCTGGGACTACCACTCCCACAATCCCTTACAGACTGGGAGCGATGGGACTCGCAGTCCAAACAGCTGGGCATATTGCACACAATTTTTTTTTCTGTCTACCTTTGGGTCTGGCTCAGCGAGAAGGCTGAGTCTTCCAAGGAGGGTCCAGTCCGTTTGCCGTCAGGTCTATTTGGGGGGGGGGGGGTCTCCGTCTAGGGCTTTGCCCATTGGCGTCCATAGTAAAAACAACCAAAGTTGTCAACTTGAATCCTTTGGGGAGGGACACGTTGCCCACCATAGGCAAAGGGGTCTGGCTCAACAAAGACCCCAAAGTGAATCCTTTTTTGAGGGGAGGGGGCTCTATCGAAGCCTCTTTGCCCATTGAAGAGTGGCCAAAGTGGACGTCTAGCTTTCGGCAAGGCTCCAATCATCCAACAAGGTCCCTTTTTCGGGGGTCTCGGACCACCGAGAGGGCTCTCTTCCATACCCAAAGGCGAAAGAGGTCCCCCATCTTTAATTAGGCCCTTTTTTGGGGAGGGGTCTCCACCAAAGCCTTAGTCAAACTGTTTGGCCCAGAAAGACCCCTCTTTCCTTATTCAAACAGGTCTATTTAGGGGAGTGAAGGAGACCCCAATCTCGGCATCCATGGCAAAGCTGGCCAAAGTGGTCCCCTTCTGTACCCAGGCTCAGTGAGGGGGCGGGGGGTTCTTTGGTCCATTGCAAAGAGGGTCCGCATGCTGGCGCCCCACCGCCGTCAAGGAGGCGAGAAGCGCTCCAAGCCCCGCGGCCCGGAGAGGGATCCCTCGTGGTTCATTTGGCTGAGTGCCGCACTTTGGGCCAAGATTTGGGCCGCTTTGTCCGGCCCGAGGCCGAGATACAAGCCTTGCAAGGCCGTCTTCGGATCGGCGAGAAGCGGGTGATGCGGCCCTTCCGGGGAGAAGCCTAAGCGGAGAGCTTCGGGCGTCACGCTTTGAGCGGCGGCTGCGGCGGCGGCCGCGGCATGCATCTTCATGTGGCTGAGGAGGTTGCGCTGCTGGGCGAACTTCCCTCCGCAGACGCGGCACTCGTAAGGTTTCTCCCCGGAGTGGATGCGCATGTGCTCGGTGAGGCGGTACTGGCGGGTGAAGCGCATGCCACAGGCCTCGCAGGCGAAGGGCTTGAGGCCCAGGTGGCTGCGCATGTGGCGCGTCATGGTGCCGCGCTGCGTGAACTTCTTGCCGCAGATGGAGCACGGGTACGGCCGGGTCAGCCAGTGGGTCTTCTCGTGCTGCCGGAGCGTGGCCGGGTCCTTGTAGGCCTTCTCGCACGAATTGCACCGGTACGGTCGCAAGAGGTCCGCCGGAGCCGAAGGCGGCGCCGACATCGGAGGAGCCGGCGCCGGCACCGATTTCTCCAGCGCCTCCTCCTCCTCGTTGTGAGCCTCCACGTGCGCGTTGAGCTCCTCCGAAGACGGGAAGCCCTTCCCGCAAGGGATGCAGACGTATAAATTGTCCCCTCCGAAGCCTTCGGCCGAGTCTCCGTAGCCCAGAAAGCGCTCCAGGCTGGGAGACGGGCCCCCTCCGCTGCTCCCGGCGCTCTCTTCCTCTTCGTCATCCTCTTCTTCCTCTTCCATTTCGCTGCTGCTCTTCTCGTTCTCGGCCGTGACCGAATTCCTTTCCCCGTCCACGAAGGGCCTCGTCGGTGAAGGGGAGGCTACCTTTTCGCCTTCCTTCGTCCTCCTCTGGCCTTCCTCCTCCTCCTCCTCCACGTAACTCAACGGTTCGTGCTTCATCCAGCGGTAAATAAAGTCCGGGCCTAGTTCGGGCCGGTTCGAAGGCTCCAAGATAGCCGCCTCGGTGCCGATGTGAGGATGATGGAGGAGAGGATGCGGCGGAGGATGATGGTGGAAGGGCGGCTGTGGGACCTGAGGCGGCTCCTCGTGCAATGGAGGGTTTGGGGGGGCTTCTATTGTCGACCTCAGGCGAGCCTGAGAGGACGGCGGCACCGGAGGAAGAGGAGGACCCAGCTGTCCGTTGGGGCTCTTTTTGGAGAGATCCAACCCGCACAAAGGGGCGCAAAGGAGCCCAGCCTGCGATGCGGCGTACAGTTCGGCACAATGGGTGCTCAAGGGGTTGCCTCCGTCGCCGGGCCGCCCAAAGCAGCTCTGGATGACCGGCGTGGCGGCCCGGAGACCTCTCGCCAGCTTGCCCAACGGCGAGTAAATGCCACCCCCGTTGCCGTTTCCTCGCAGGGGGAAGTACTTCCCCGAACGCTTGAGCTTCTTCTTGCAAAGGGCCACCAAATCTGGGATCTGGAGGTAGCTCGCAGCGGCCAAGATGGCCCCCAAGGAGGGCTCTTCCGATGGCGGCCCTTCGTGGGAGTCGGTCCCTCCCAGGCGACCGGTGTAGATGAAGTCCAGGACGGCGCGGAAGACGGGCGGGCTGACCATCTCCTGGTCCAGGTTGACCAGGTTGTCGTGGACCACCAAGGCCTTCAGGTAGGCGCTGCTGGCCGCCAGGACGTTCTTGTGGGCCCGGAAGAGCGCGTTCTGGACCACCACCACCACGTCGCACAGGAAGCCCTTGGTCCGCTGAGCGTTGAGTTGGAGCAGGAGTTGCCTGGCGTGCGGAGGGGATTCCGGGGGAGGAAGAGGCGGAGGCGGCGAGGGCGGCGAGGAGGAAGGGGCTTCCAACATGGCGGCGCCTGCAAGGGACCAAAGAGAGGAGCGTCAACATTCAATGCAACCAAGAAGCCATTGACTCAATATCACTCCTCCTTCTCCTACAGCCGGTAGTAGTTTCACTGCCAAGACGCTGAGCCTCAACACTTGGTAAACATCTAGGATCAGGCAAAGTTGGGGACTGTGAGTGGATCGGAAAAGAGACGGAAGCATTAGACAGAGAACCCAGTTGGTAGAAGAAGGCCACGTGCACCAGTGGTGGGGCAAACTTGGGGTCCCGTCCCACCCAACTTCTGGTCATGGGTGGGTCAAAAAAGAGAGAAGAGTCCAGGAACTCAAGGCATTTTTCAAAAGCCTTACGCAAAAATGAACCAAAGTCTAGAACAGGGTGAAGTTGGGGGTCAAATCTCAATTGGGGGACCCTTCCTGGAGATGAGTGAATAAGAAAAATAGAGACAAGGAGAACCATTGGGAAGGGAAGCATCCAAAGGAGGCCATCGTTCAAGAAGTTCACGCACAAACACACTAGGGAGTCGGTGAGTCCGAGGGTCGCATCTCCAAGCCTCTCTGTTTGGGTGGGGGTCTTGTCTTCCGGAAGACAGGCGGAGAGCAAAAGGGAGGAAAGGGATGCATAGAAGTCTGTGCGGGAAAGAAATCCATGCTTCTACAAGAGAGAGGAATCGGGGGGGGGGGTCTCTGTCATCTCATGAGAAGAAAATCGGGGGTCTACTCCTGCATCTACAAGAGAGGAATCAGGGGTCTCTCGTCTCATGCTTCTATAAGAATCGGTGGTCTCATCTCAAGAGATTAATTGGGGTCTCTGTCATCTCATGCGTCTACAAGAGAGAGGAATTGGGGGTCTCTGTCATCTCATGCGTCTACAAGAGAAGAATTGGGGGTCTCTATCTTATGCGTCTACAAGAGAGAAATCGGGGGCATCTGTAATCTCATGCATCTACAAGAGAGAGGAATCAGGGTCTCTGTCTTCTCATACGCCTACAAGAGAGGAATTAGGGGTCTCTGTCTTTTCACGTGTCTACAAGAGAGGAATCGGAGGTCTCTGTTCTCTGGAGAGAGGAATTGGGGGTCTTTTCATGCATCTACAAGAGAGGAATCGGGGGTCTCTTGTCTCATGCTTCTATAAGAATCGGGGGTCTCTCTCATCTCAAGAGATTAATTGGGGTCTCTGTCATCAAGAGAGGATGACTACAAGAGAGAGGAATTGGGAGTCTCTATCTTATGCATCTACAAGAGAGAGGAATCAGGGTCTCTGTCTTCTCATACGCCTACAAGAGAGGAATTGGGGGTCTCTGTCATCTCAAGAGAGAGGATTTGGGGGTCTCTGTCTTTTCATGTGTCTACAAGAGAGGAATCGGAGGTCTCTGTTCTCCGGAGAGAGGAATTGGGGGTCTTCTCATGCATCTACAGGAGAGGAACTGGGGGGGTCTCTGTCATCTCATGCTTCTATAAGAATTGGGGGTCTCAAGAGAGATGAATCGGGGGTCTCTGTCATCTCATGCATCTACAAGAGAAATTGGAGGTATCTATAATCTCATGCATCTACAAGAGAGAGGAATCGGGGGTCTCTGTCATCTTGTGCGTCCATAAGAGAAGAATCGGGGGGTCTCTGTCATCTCAAGAGAGAGGGATTGGGGGTCTCTTTCATCTCATGCGTCTACAAGAGAGGAATCGGGGGACTCCTTGTACATCTACAAGAGAGGAATCGGGGGGCCTCTCTTGTCTCAGGAGAGGAATCGGGGGTCTCTTCTCATGCATCTACAAGAGAGAGGAATCGGGGGTCTCTGTCATCTTGTGCATCCACAAGAGAAGAATCAGGGGTCTCTGTCATCTCAAGAGAGAGGGATGGGGGTCCCTTTCATCTCATGCGTCTACAAGAGAGAGGAATTGGGGGTCTCTTTCATCTCATGCGTCTACAAGAGAGGAATCGGGGGACTCCTCATACAAGAGAGAGGAATCGGGGGCCTCTCTTGTCTCAGGAGAGAGGAATCGGGGGGTCTCTTACATCTCATGCATCTACAAGAGAGAGGAAATCGGGGGTCTCTGTTGTCTCGTGCATCCACAAAAGAAGAATCAGGGGGTCTTTGTCATTTCAAGAGAGAGGGATTGGGGGTCTCTGTCATTGCATGCTTCTACAATAGAAGAATTGGGGTCTGTGTTGTCTTGTGTCTACAAGAGAGGAATCGGGGGTCTCCGTCATCTCATGCTTCTGCAAGAGAGATGAATCAGGGGTCTCTCGTCTCATGCCTCTATAAGAATCAGGGGTCTCTCTCATCTCAAGAGAGAGTGGAATTGGGGGTCTCTATCATCTCATGCATCTACAAAAGAGAGGAATCAGGGGTCTCTGTCTTCTCAAGAGAGAAGAATTGGGTCTTCTCGTGCATGTATGAGAGGAATTGGGGGTCTCTCGTCTCATGCCTCTATAAGAATTGGGGGTCTCTCATCTCATGCGTCTACAAGAGAGGAACTGGGGGTCTCTGTCATCTCATGCTTCTATAAGAATTGAGGGTCTCTGTCATCTCGAGAGAGAGGAATGGGGGGTCTCTTATCTCTCCTCTCCAAGTTGGGGTTTGGGCAAAGTTTGGACCGAAAGGGAGAGGCGTCAGGAAGGAAAGCATACAAAACTCTGTACAAAACAGGTCAAAAGTGGGGACTTCCCTCCCAGTTTGGGGGTTCTCTTCCCAATGATAGATGGATAGGAAGAAAAAGAGGAAAAGGAGAAGAGCTAAGGGGGGAAAAGTGGAAGACAAAAAGGAGAAAAGCCTGGAAAGGAAATGCGCAAAAACCTCTTGCGGTGGGACGAAGTTGGGGGTCTGCTCCGCTGTTTTTGGCGTCCTAAGTTGGGGGATTTTTTAGGGGTGTCCCTTGCCAAAGCGGGGGCATTTTTAAAGGGGGGACAAATAGAAAAAGAGAGAGAGAGAAAGGAGGAAGAGGAGAGCCAAGCTGTGCGTAAAAGCGCCGTGCGTAAAAGTTCTCCGGACTTTGAAAGGAGCCTCTTCAAGGAGGGATGGAGCCCCTCTTTTCCGGTTTGGGGGTCTCTTCAGAAAGGTGGGACCCTCCCCAAATTGGGAAGGGGGAAAGGAAAGGAAAGAGGGAAGGGAAAAGGCTGGGGAAGGGAGAGGAAGAAGCCGAAGCCGCGCGTCAAAACCAAACCTCTGTGCGTCAAAAGCGGAGAAGTCGGGGAATCTCCCCAAAGAAGGGCTCTTTCTCCCCTCTCTTCCTATCCACTTTTGGGGGTCCCTTGTCTTGTCAATCTCGGGGTGCCACCCTTTCCTTTCTGGAGGGGTGGAAGGAGAGGAGAGAGGAAGAAGGAAACGCCGAAGGAAGGAAGTGGAAGAGTTTGGGGAAGAGAAGAAAAGGGGTCGGAAAGAAGCCCGTGCGTAAAAGGCGTCCAAGAGGAAACCCAAGTTGTTTTGCTTTTTGTGGGGCGCTTCCTCCTAGAAATTGGGGTCTTTTCCTCCCTCCCTTCCTCCCAAAAGCAAAAGGAAAGGAAAAGGCTTGAAGCAAGGAAGGAGAAGAGCAGCGGCAGAAGAAGGAGTGTTTCCAAACCGCCGCGCGTCCAAACGCACCGGTTCCAACGCGACGAAAGCGGGGCAAATCCCCTCCCTGGGTGCCTTTATTTCCTCTCTTCTTCCTTTCGCTTCTGGCCAGCTTCCCTTCCAAGCTTTGCCCCCTTATAGAAGGAGGGGGAAGGAAAAGAGGAGGAGGAGGAGAAGGAGAAGAAGAAGAAGAAGAAGCAGGAGAGGAGGGAGGAGGGGGCTTTGGGCACCATTGGGGCCAAGCTGTGACGTCACAACTCCTGCCCCCCCCTCCCTCCCTCCCTCCAAACTCCCCCTCACACCTGGGTCCCCTTTTGGGGAGGGGTCTCCAAGGGTCCCCACGCACCTGGATGGCCTTTCCAATGGGAAGTCAGTCAACCCCCAAAGGTAAGAAGGGGGTCCCCTTGACGCACCCCACTTCCCTTCCCAGGGAAAAGACCAGCCACGCCCTGGATTCCAGAGAGGGTTTTGAGGGTCCCAAGAAACGCCCCCCCCCCCCCAATCCTTCCAGGTCTTTTTTTGGTGGGAATCATCATCATTATCAACCCATTGCAAGGAATGGACTGAGCAAGGAAGGGATTCTGCCCTGGTTGGAGGAAGGGCTTTTTTTTGGGGGGGGGGATGTCACAAATAATATAAATGACAATCATAATTAGAGGGAAGAGGGGTGTCAAGGTCTCCAAGAAGGGGAGAATACATGAAAAAAGGGGTTTGGGGGGATCTGGGGTCGAAGGAAAGGCATGATGGAAAAGAGCGGTTGGGGCAAAAGGGAGTTCAACGTTTGGAGCAAAGTTTGGGGAAAAGTTTGAAGGAAAGTTTAGCAAGGTTTGGGAAAAGTTTGGAGCAAAGTTTGGGGAAAAGTTTGGAGCAAAGTTTAGCAAAGTTTGGAGCAAAGTTTGAAGGAAAGTTTAGCAAGGTTTGGGGAAAGGTTCAGAGCAAAGTTTGTGGAAACGTTTAGCAAAGTTTGGGGCAAGGTTTGGCAAAAGTTCAGGGCAAAGTTTGGGGAAACGTTTAGCATAATTTGGAGCAAAGTTTAAGGCGAAATTTGGAGCAAAGTTTGGGGAAATGTTTTGCAAAGTTTGGCGAAGAGTTTAGGACAAACTTTGGCTAAAATTTGGAGCAAAGTTTAAGGCAAAATTTAGCAAAGTTTGGGGGAAAGTTTGGAGCAGAGTTTAGCAAAAGTTAGGGCAAAGTTTGGAGTGAAGTTTTGGGAAAAGGTTTAGCAACGTTTGGAGCAAAGTCTGGAGGAAAGTTTGGGGAAAGGTTAGAGCAAAGTATAGGGAACAGTTTGGGCAAAGTCAAGAGCAAAGTTTGGAGGAAAGTTTAGCTAAAGTTTGGAGCAAAGTTTGGGGAAAGGTTCAGAGCAAAGTTTGCGGAAACGCTTAGCAAAGTTTGGTCAAAGTTTGGAGCAAAGTTTGGGGGGAAGTTTAGCTAAAGTTCTGGGGAAAGTTTGGGGAAAAGTTTGGTCAAAGTTTGGAGCAAAGTTTGTTGAAAAGTTTAGCAAAGTTTGGGGAAAGGTTAGAGCAAAGTTTAGGGAAAAGTTTGGAGGAAAGTTTAGCGAAAGTTTGGAGCAAAGTTTGGGGGAAAGTCTGAAGCAAAGTTTGGGAGAAAGTTTAGCCAAAGTTTGGTCAAAGTTTGAGGGAAAGTTTAACCAAAGTTTGGAGCAAAGTTTGGGGAAAAGTTTCGAGCAAAGTTTCGAGCAAAGTTTGGTCAAAGTTTGGGAGAAACTCTAGCGATGTTTCGGGAAAAGTTTGGAGCAGAGTTTGAAGCAAAGTTGAGCGAAAGTTTGGAGCAAACTTTGGGGCGCCTGCCTCCAGAGTGGAGCCCCCCAACCAACCAAGCAACCAAGCAACCAGCCAGCCAACCCACCCACCCCCCTCCTCTCCCGGTGCCCGTGCTCACCCGGGGGTCCGGAAGGGGGGGCCAGGCAGCAGGCGAGGTCCGCGTGGACGCGCATGCCTCTCGCTCCTTCCTTGCGGGTTGTGCTGCTCTGGTCGGGAGCCTCCTTCGCAGTCTTCTGCCGCGTCCGGGCCGCGAACTCGGCCTGACCTCGAGCTGAACTCGGGCGGGCCCTGCTTCCCTCCTCCTCCTCCTCCTCCTCTTCTTCCTCCTCCTCCTCCTCCTCCTCCTCCTGGCCAAGGGGCGGGCATCCCCAGGGTCGCCAAGGCTTTCAAGGGAGACCCCCCCCCAATGACAGGTCAGCCCTGAAACAGAGCCAGCCTCTGCACAGAGGGATTTGGTTGTGCTTTCCCTGCCTGGCAGAATGACGGGGGGTGGACTAGATGACCTCTAGAGCAGGCCTGGGCCAACTTGGGCCCTCCAGGTGTTTTGGACTCCAACTCCCACAATTCCTAACAGCCGGTAGGCTGTTAGGAATTGTGGGAGTTGGAGTCCAAAACACCTGGAGGGCCCAAGTTGGCCCAGGCCTGCTCTAGAGACCCCCCAATAATAGTATTACATTATTATGATATGGATATTATTATTTTATTATATTATTTATTGCTATTATATTGTTAATATTGTTTTCATTCTATTATTAAATCATTTTATTTTCTGTTTTTTATTACTATTATATTGTTGATATTGTTGTTTTCATTCTATTATTAATTCATTTTATTATCTGTTTAAAATACATTAAAATATTGTGTGCATAAATGTTATATATAATACATTATTTTTATTTCATATTTAGAATGTATTAAAATATTGTGTATTTCTGTGTGTGTGTGTATAATACTATATTATTGATTGATGAATTGTTACTATACTTTACTTTTTAGGCTGCAAAAGAAAGTTCCCTTTTATATTATTATTATTATTATTATATTACTATATTAATACATTATTGATTGATGTATTATTATTATATTTTATTTTTAGGCCCCAAAAAGGTTTCCTATATATATAAAACACTATTACTACTATTATATGGATATATTTATTATATAATTTATTGCTATTATGATATTGGTGTTTTTATTATATTATTAATTGATGTATTATTATTATTCTTTTATTTTTCAGGGCCCAAAAGAAGGTTATTATTATTATTATTAGAATATGATTATTTTATTATTTTATTAATTTATTTTTATTATGTTGTTTTTATTATATTATTAATTGATATTACTATATTACTATATTATTGGTTGATGAATTATTGTTATATTTTATTTTATGTCCAAAAAGAAGGCTCCTTGATTATTATTATTATAATTATTTGGGTATGATTATTTTATTATATTATTAATTTATTCTTATTACTATATTATCGATTGATGTATTATTATTATATTTTATTTTTATGTCTAAAAAGAAGGCTCCTTGATTATTATTATTATTATTATTATTTGGATATGATTATTTTATTATATTATTAATTTATTCTTATTACTAGATTACTATATTATCGATTGATGTATTATTATTATATTTTATTTTATGTCCAAAAAGAAGGCTCCTTGATTATTATTATTATCATTATTTGGATATGATTATTTTATTATATTATTAATTTATTCTTATTACTAGGTTACTATATTATCGATTGATGTATTATTATTATATTTTATTTTTATGTCTAAAAAGAAGGCTCCTTGATTATTATTATTATTATTATTATTATTATTATTATTATTATTTGGATATGATTATTTTTATTATATTATTAATTTATCCTTATTACTAGATTACTATATTATCGATGGATGTATTATTATATTTTATTTTTATGTCCAAAAAGAAGGCTCGGTGTTTATTATTATTATTGTTATTATTATATTGATATGATTATTTTATTAAATTATTAATTCTTGTTTTTATTATATTATTAATTGATATTAATAATATAATAAAATTTTATTATATTTATATTATCGATTGATGTGTTATTATTATATTTTATTTTTAGGTCCCCCAAAAGGTTACCTGTTTTTTTTTTATTATTATTATTATTATTATTATTATTATTATTATTATTATTATTATTATTATCCTCTTTTGAAAACTTCGGTCTTAAAGGGAAAGTGCGCTCTTTGCGCCTTCTGGTGGCCGCTTCTGGTATTGCAGTTGAGAAAGAACACATAATATCATTCTACTAGATGCCCCTTTATGGGCTTTTTAAAGGTATTTTGGGGAGTCGAAGGTTCAATGAAAGGACCAAGGCAGTGACATTCCCGGCCCATCCTCTGTTCAGCCACCTAGCCAATGCCTCAAATATTGAAACAACTTTCTTAGATCTGCAGAGATACTTGCAGGAACACCTCAGCAAGCAAGACTCCAAAAGTGGCAGGCTCAAACCCAGTGGCTGATGCCGGATGAGAGACGCAGAGCCAACCTCAAGGAATTGACCACAAAGTGGAGTCCATGACATGCGAGTGTGGAGAAAAGGAAATATTTTTTTAATTATTTTATTAGTACTGTTATTGTCATTTTTATATTTATTATAATGTTTATATTATTACTATTATTATATTAGTATTCATATCATCATTTTTTATATTTATTATTATATTACTATTATTTTATATTATTTTTATTATATTAATACTGTTACTATTTTATCAGTATTTTATCTTTATATTATTATATGCATTATTATAATAGTATTATTATTTTATTTATATTATAACTATTATTATATTGGTATTATATATTAATATTTATTATATTTATATTTATATTACTAATTTATTGATTATTTTATTAGTATTATATTATTTATTGTGATATTTACATTATTAATACTATTATTTTATTTTCATTTATATGTATTTTTATATTACCATTATATTATATTAGTGCTATATCTATATTATTATATTAGTATTGTATTAATTTTTATTGTATTCACATTATTATTACTATTACTTTATTATCATTTTATACGTATTTTTATATTACTATTATATTAGTATTATGTATATTATTATATTAGTATTGTATTATTATTTATTGTATATGCATTATTATTATTATTATTATTATTTTATTTTATTTTATTATCCTATTATTTTATTATCATTATATATGTATTTTATATTACCATTATATTAGTATTATTTTGCATAGAATTACGGAAAAAATAGACCCATGTCTGATCCCACAGCAAGCTGGCTTCAGGAAAGGCAAAAGCTGCACATCGCAAGTGCTGAACCTGACTCAGCACATAGAAGATGGCTTTGAAAGGCAGCAGATCACAGGAGCTGTCTTCATAGACCTGTCAGCAGCCTATGAGACTGTGAACCACCGCCTCCTCC